GCTCACTTAAAAGTTCTCCTAGAGTCCTTTCTAAAAATTCTCTAAAAGTTTCTCCTAAAAGTTCTCCTGATGGTTTTCCTCAAAAAGTCTCTAAAGGTTCCTTCTTCCAAAGTTCTCCAAAAGTTCCTTCTAAAAATTCTCTGAAAGTGCCTTCTAAAAAGTCCTTCAAAAAGTTCCTTCTAAGAAGTCTCCAAAAGTTCCTTCTAAAAAGTCTCTAGGCGGTGGCGGCGCATGCCTTTAATCCCAGCAAAATGCCTGGCAAACTTAGTCTCAGGGGGACATGACTTGCAACTCATGCCACTAACTGATTAAAGGGGCTTCTCAGAATTATATCAAAGGGACAAACTAAGGCTATGTAGTGTGAGATTGGAAAAATGCAGCTCTTACTGCTGACACCCTGGTGAGAGGAATTTCTTTCTCTGGGGCCTATTTGAGAATTCAGATCACCCAGTATATATTCGATATACGGCCAAATTCATAGTAACGAGTATTCTAGAGTTGATACCTAGAATACTAATTGCTACTTCTGTAATAAATGATAGAGGCTCCCAGCATACAGCTTTCATTTTGCTTTGTTTATCCCTTTGCTTAAATAGTGAAAAAATGTGAATGGCTTTAATATCTTATAAAAACCCATAGGCATGGCCCTATAAATGAAAGGAAGACAAAACAGATATTATGTCATACATGGGCTGTATTGATAAATATTAAAGACATCAGACCTTTCATAAAAAACTATTTTAATGTAATAATAGTAAATCCTTAAAATGAAACAGTGATTATGCCCGGAATCCCAGCACCCAGGAGGTAGAGGCAGAATATCATAAATCATTTTAGATCTGAGCTACATGGTTAGACCCTGTAAAAAGAAAAAAGACCCCCATGAAACAAAACAAAAAAATATTACATCAAGACTTAATATAAAGCTACAACAATCAAGACAGTATGATACTGAAATAACACATCAACATATCAGTAGGACATAGCGAAGTCCACAAATAGACTCTGCAAATATAATCAAATGACCTCTGAAAAGGCCCAAAGCAATTCAGTAGGAAAGTTCTTATTCAGTACATGGTGCAGAACATGCCAGTGAGCACAAAAACAATCGGCACAGAAATCTACACCTTTTACAAAATTAATTCAAATTTACCACAGATGCACAAAATGCAAAATAGTACAATTTCTTAAAGATAACAGGGGAAAAGGACCTGTAGCTTGGTCATATTTTGTGTGTTTTCCACTTTAGCCTCAGACAGACTCTTCAGACAAGGACAAAAAGCAGCCTTTTTTTTTTTTTTTTTTTTTTTTTCACCAAAATATCACAGAAACAATTTCTAGGCCACATACTAAAATTCTTCTCTGAAACATCTTGATCCAGCCCCCAGACAGTTCAAATCATTATAAGTACCATTGTCTTCCATGCTCCAACTAGTATGGCCCATTAAGCAGTGATTAAAACATTCCACTGCGTTCCTAACCCAAACTCCCAAAGTCCAAATTCCTCCAAACATGGTCAGGCTTATCACAGCAATATGCCAGGCTCTGGTATCAACTTTCTTCTTAGTTAGGGTTTCTATTGCTGTGAAGAGACACCATGACCATAGCAACTCTTATAAAGGAAAACTTTTAATTGGGGTGGCTTACGGTTCAGAAGTTCAGTCCATAATCAACATAGTAGGGAGCATGGCAGTGTGCAGGCAGACATGGTACTGGCTACATCTTGATCAGAAGGCAACAAGTAGACTGAATGTCACTGGGGGAAACGAGCAAAAGTGACCTCAAAGCCCATCTCCACAATGACATAATCCCTCCAACAAGGCCACACCTACTTCAACAAAGACTCACCTCCTAAAAGTGCCACTCCCTTTGGGGGTTATCTCCTTTCAAACCACCACAGACAGGTTTTGATGGAAATTTAGAAATCAGAAATGAGAGGCACTATCAGCCGCAGTCCTGACACTCCTATTCCACATTAGAATGTTTCTTTCCCACCTTTGGAAAGTGGTGTTGGTTTTACCCAAAACAGAGTTACTGTAACTAGACTAACTATTTCGTGTTTTATATGCCTCTTTCATCTAATATTAGCAACGAGCATTTGTTATATAAACAGTGTTCAGGTGACAACACACTTTGTAGAGACCATGTCTCATGTGCGATGGCATGACTCTCTTTCAGCTTGAGTTCATACTCTGGTGTGGAGTGATTCTAGGCTGACATTACTCTTCCTCATCATCTTCGTCTATAAAACGTGAAGAAATAATAATGTAGACAGTAGCTACTGTATTAGTTCCTTTTTTATTGCTGCGATAAAAAACCACAGCCACAGTAACTTACAGAAGAGAAAGCTTATGCTCCCGGATCCAGAAGGTTTGAGTGCATAACGGTGTAGTAGTAAAGGCATGGGAGTAAACGCAGGGAGACAGTGCTCATATCTGGAAGAGCAATCAGGAAGCAGAAAGAGCAAACTGGGAGTGGCCTCAAAGCCTGCCCCCAGTGACACACTTCCTCTAGCAAGGCCACACCTCCCACACAGCACAACCAACTGGGACCAGGTGTCCATGCCTGTAAGGAGTACGGTTTTTCCACCCTGCCACCGCTGGTCTTGTCCTGCTGCCACGCCAGCCCCAAATAACACACAGAGACTCTGTATTTGATATAATGCTGTTGGCCCATTATTTGTTTCTTATAGGCTAGCTCTGTCTTAATTATTAACCCATTTCTGCTGATCTATGTATTTCTCTTACCGGGGAGCGGGCCAGCATACTGCTTTCTCCAGACTCTCCATCTTGGCTCCTCCTTACTACTTCCTCTTTCCTCCTTGTCTCCTAGTCCCTCCTATCTTCCTTTCCTATTGGCCAACAGTGCTTTATTATTAACCAGTATGAGAAACATATATACATAATGGCATCTCCCATCAAATGCCTGTTAATTAATACATGTTCTTATGTATACATATAATCTTAATAGCAATATAAAATTCCTTTCCACTGGTAGCCTGCCATAACTACATTGACCCGAATGCTTGGCTGACTATGACTTTGAAATGCTTTAGGGCACTTATCACTTCTACACTTGGGACCAGAACCTTAAAAAGCTATATAAGAGTACTCATACATATTTAGGGCATTTTACTTAAGCTGGGTATTCATCCTCTTCTATACATCATGATTTTAGTGTGTCTAAAACATTTCAGTGGGAACCACACTTGGTGAAAGACAAGAAACTAATGTGTACAAAAGTGACATAGAAGGAATCAAAAAGGGACTGGAGAGATGGCTCAGAGGGTAAGCGCACTGGCTGTTCTTCCAGAGGACCTGAGTTCAATTCCCAGAAACCACATGGTGGCTCACAACCATCTATAAGGAGATCTGGTGCCCTCTTCTGGTGTGCAGGCAGACATGCAGGCAGAGCACAGTATACATAATACATAAACAAATCTTTTAAAAAGGGAATGAAAAGTCCCATTGTTAAAGTAAGGAATGTGTCTTACATGACAATTAGCCAAAGGAAGCTCTCCATGTTTGCCCACATCCACCGCCTAGCTTACACCCATCACTACTTTCATCCATTCCAGCTGAAAGTTACACCCGAGGCTTCTAAACATAGTGTGCATCTTTAGCGTCTTTTTCCTCCTCTTGGTTTGCTTCCTCTTCTCTATCTCAACCTGCCAAACCCCACCACTTGGAAGTTTGATTCAGTCCTTCCAAAACAGCCCTTTCTTTCGCTGTGTGAACACAATCAGTGTTTAAAAAGCATAGCTTAAAAATGGTTGTAAAGCACTTCACACTTCATCCCCGTAACAGTCCTGTAAAGTACTATTTCCCCTTCCCTGATCTTCTCAGGTCCCTAACCATCATCTCTGTGTTCTCTTTTTCTCACTCAAAAAAAAAAAAAAAAAAAAAAAAAGGCGCGCGCGCGCGCACACACACACACACACACACACACACACAGTGGAGTCTATTTTGTGTTGGCCAACTACTCCTGGGCATGGGGACTCTCCATTGGAGAGGTATCTATTGAACATAGTTTCTTGGTTGGGGTGGGGCTTTGTGTCCACTTCCCTTTGTTGGGGTCTCTGCAAACACCATGATCAACAGAGTGCCGAACCACATGAGGCAAGAAGGGAGTCCGGTTCAAGATGACTCAGTAACCAGTGTTGGCTCAAACACACCGGGTAGTTTACTTTAGGCCTATTTAAGTGCAGCACAATTTGGGAAAAAGTTTCCTGGTGATAGTGAATTCAACCCTGTGTGTGCAACAAAAGCTTAAGACATGACTACATCAACATTCTTGTAAGGTACAAGTAACGTCTTCCATAAAGATAGGTTCCCTGGATAAACTGAGGAAGCAGGCTCTAGGTAAGCAATGTTCCTGGTGAGGGTCCTAAGGGGTGGAGAGACAGAGCTCTAGACTGACTGAGATAAACATGAGGGTCTGGCGGAGGCAGGGTGGCCTGGCCGCACAGATAATGCTGAGGTCACCAGATATATATATATATATATATATATATATATATATATATATATATATATAATCAATTTTGCAAGAGAGGGTTTCTCTGTCTAGCCCTGGCTGTCCTGGAACTCACTCTGCAGACCAGGATGGACTCACAGATAGGCTAATATGCTCCAATGTATCATTTTGTACATTTTAAACATACATAACAAAATTTTGTGTTGAAAAAAAATAACAAATATGTAAAGCTGGGTCACAAATCCAAAACAAATATGCAAATTCGAGGGCAACAATGTAAAAATCCTTAGTTCCTGAAGCAACACACACATCTAATAACTTAACAAGCTAATAATTTAATAAATGATTAGATGCTGATGCTCTAAACGTAGAAACAGTTTACCCAATTAGATGATGAACCCAGTCTCCTCCTTAAATTACATTCAAGCGTCATAGTTCAAATCTTGAACCATAGACTGTAACCCTTACAATAACTTAGTACATCTTGGTAGATAAACTCAAGAAGCAATGGGATTGCATCTTACCATTCTCTACACAGTGCCAAAACATCTGACACAGGAACTTAAGGAAGAGAGATTCACTTGGCCATCACAGTGGGGAGGAGTGGCGTGGTCCATGGCGGCAGGGCTTGCACCAGACCAGAGCAGGTGTGACCTTCAAGGGCTGTTCCTGAGCCATCGGGAGGTTTGCCAGCTCCAAGCCACCCTTATCTACATCCCAAGAACGTGGAAAACATCAGGTTTTCATGTAGATAAGATGAGTTTCTTTCGCAGAGTATGCTGCAGGCTCAGATAATATTTCTCCTTAGGAGAAGCTCTGCTGTTCCAGGCATAAACTTTGTCCATGAGATTGACATGGAGATCCACGAGTGAGCATTTCCTAGTGGAAAAGAGAAAGGTAAATTTTAATGCCATGCAAATGCCAAAAGGAAGACACACGGTCATTAGGGTGTCAGTAGGTATGAACACCCTTTGAAACTCACCCTTTTTAAATGCCCCGTAAGATGTTTAACAAATAATCCAAACAAGTTGGCAGCACTCTGGCCCAAGTGTCCAGTGTCTCCTTCCACAGAGACAGCTGAATTGTACTGAGAATGCACAAGCTAGGTGATAAGCCACCTGCATCACATATGCAAAGACGGGAAGACTGTAAAAGGCCAGCACTACCCCTGATCCCTGGAGCATCTCCTCTGGAATGCTGCATCACTCCCAGACACACACCCTACTGAACCGGCATTGAGGACCCTGGTGAGAAAAAGCTAGAGAGGCACCTCAAATATAAGAGGTCCTCAAATATAAGCATTTTTGACTAGTAGCTCAGAAACATTATTGCTCATTGTAATTGGGGGGGCAAATAAAAAAAGGCCAATCTTATACTTGAAGGGCACTGTAGCTTCTTTCAATTAACTAGAAGCCAGGACAGTAATGGAACCTTTAGGGAAATACTCCTAATAAACATTAAAAATGTTTACAGTCATGCATTTATCTGTGGACGCCAAAACCCTTAGTGGACGCCTGTCTGAAAGCAGGCCAGCATTGAACCCCATAGTGAATACACTGTGCTTTTTCTATAATACACACATACCTATGATAAAGCTTAATTCATGTTAGCAGAATATAAGAAATACATACAAACCACAACCGAAGTGTTGATAAGCTGTGCTAAATCCATATCATACCCCAAAGCAACCCGAGTGAGAAGGGAAAGTCTCTCTCCTGGGGAAGACCGTCAGACAAAGCATAGTGCTCACCTTTCTTGCTGCAGCTGCTGGGAGAGGTTCTGCAGGTACAAGGAGGGTGAGCTGGAGGGCTGCTCCAACTGGGACACATCCGCTGTGCACAGGCTCCAGAAGAAGTCGGCTTCCTGGTGAATCATGCTGGGGCCACGACACAGGGCCTTAGAGTCCCAGTTTCTTATTGCTGGCCCATCAACCTCTAGGCTGCTGTCCTTTGACTGGCTACCTATCACCTCATAGTTCTGAATAAAGAAGAGCTTTGGTTTCCCTATGAGAAAAGGGCACATGTCCCCCATGAACATCCTCTTGACACAATCAAAGGTCAACCCTGAGTGAGCCAGATCCACGCCCATTATTTTTTGGGAGGCTCCTCGGCTCACTATAACACATATAAAGCTGTCATAGTCTCGGTGTTGGCGCAGATGGACAAATCGGTTGAGAATCTGGGGTATATCATATGCACTAGGAAACAAAAAAGGCTGGACATAATAGCCCAAGGAAGTGAAGGTCTCTTGAAGATACTCTGCAGAAAACAAACAGAAAACAACACTGGAGTGAGAAGAGCCAAGAAGACACAGGATGTGGCTCCTAGCATGGTCTAGACCACTACATATCTGTTTCTGTGTAATGACACTCTGAGGCCTCCCGGTTCAGAAGTGAGGAAACATGAAAATGTGTGACTTGCATGTCCCAGGCTTCTCACAAAGGCACATTTCCTGCTACACTGCTGTCTCTGCCCACAGCCACCAGCAGATTTGACAGGGCTCAGATGCAACCCATCCAATGCAATGAAACCAAGAAAGAACAGAACAGTTCTCTTGTCAACCAAAATGAAGTGAAGGTTCTTCAAATGGTCCTTTCCTCAAAATTCATAGGAATGGGAAGTGTTGGCAGAGTGCAAATCCAGTCCAGATGGCTGCCAAAATGGCAGCATAAGTTATGAGTTCCCTCTGCTCGCTGTGGACTCAGACAGAGGTCCTTAGATCTAAGTTGTGATTATTTCTAGACTGCCCAGTTCTACTCCTAGTCTTGGGCTGCCTTTACCTTGAAAGGCAGTATAAGGCAGTAGAAAGAACAACAAATCCGCTTTCTAATCCTGACCTTACAAACACCTTGAACTGCAGGACAATAAGAAAGGCGGGTCTCCCTAGCTTTCAATGGAAGCATTAACAGCCACCAATCAGAAAGAATTCTGTAAAGATTAAGCAAGACAAATAAAGATCTGGTGCTACTATAAATAGTATTAGTTCTTATTATTTTGTTTAAAAGACTTTCCCCATATTCTAGAAGTTTCTATGGCTCTAGAGGTCCTATCAAGTCCACTTCTTTCTTATTTGTTCAGTTTGTCTTTAGTGGAAGAATAAAGACAGCATCTTAAATCAATTAGTATCTTTTATAATAATAACAAAAATAAGAACTCCTTTCTCTTCCCCATTCAAAAATTCTACATCCTTTCACATTACCCACACTTTTCTGTTATTTATTGGATCAACACCTCCAGTTCTTAATTTACTGAGCAGAAAAACTTCTCCATCTTAAACGCAGACACTCAGCAAGCAACCCCATTTCAGACTGTCTATCCGCTTCTCTGGGTCTGCTTTTGTGACTTGTCCCTAATGCCAACCCTTCTCCTGTGGTGTGGACTTCCACAAGTCTACCCTGAATTTGCTCCAAACCAACCACACAACAACTATAGCCCTGCAACTTCTGCTGAGAACAAAGGCCTGAGACTGCACAGCAAGGAGTCAAGGGGAGAACACAACTCATGACTACTGACAAGTTCTCCATGCTCCGTGTCAACTGGGCCCCATATGAAGTTCAGACGGTCACAAGCAAATCACATTCACAGCTGTGGCCTTCTTACTTGGCCAACTGCAAATAAGCTAGAAATGCAAGACGGGGAAACCTCAATTTGTCTCCTAGGAGAGAACTGGAGCAGAAAAATAAAGATGAAAAGGGAACACAGCTTTGGGTAAGCAATGATCTGGGATAGTCCCCTGACCGGTGGGAGCTAGCTTGCGTGTTTGGAATTTAACCTACTCAGACTATGAACAGTACCTGTGCATAGTATATACTGGAACTTTCCATGCCCTGCATCGTACCAAGACAAAGTGGTTTTAAAATATGTTCGCAGAATCTCTGACATTCCTCTCTTATAAAGATGAGTGGCACTTCTTTTTTTAACGGTAGACCAGACTTGCTAATGTCTCTACTGAGCCCTGCAACAGAAGTGTGTACATGAACTAGGGATATGACTAGTTGAGGAAGCCTGCCTAGCACGCACAAGGCCTTGTGTTTGAGCCCCAGCACTGAATTAAAAAAAAAAAAAAATGCAGCTTCCTGCTGGCCCTGTCTTGCCTTCACACAGCTGACTCTGGGAAAACCAGTACTGTATCACAAGAGCTCACTGGAGAGGACCACCTACAGGACAACGGAAGCCTCTCCCCAGCATCTAGCATCAGCTTTCCAGGCAGCCAATGAGTGGCCTACAAATGGCTCCTCCAATCCCAGTCAAGTCTTCAGTTGGCCCCAGCTGACTCAGGGTACCCCATCAGAGACCCCAAGCCAGAAGAGCCTACCTAAGCTGTTTCTAGAGTCCTGAATCACAGAAACTGGGAGAGATAATCAAATAAATAGTTTACTTAAGCCCCTTAATTGTAGAGTGATTTATATACATTATGAGATAATGCACCAAGTCTTTTGCCCTCTCTTATTAGTAAGAAGTATAACCATCTTTACTTAAGACTACAGTTATAGTCTACATACATCTTTATTTAACTAGAATATAACTGTAGTTATATTCTATAGACTTTTATCCTCTCCTAAAAATGAATTCCATTCTCTAACACTGAAGAGATATAAAGTACAGACATCATTAAGTCAGGATCAGCAAGCATCTTATTAAGGAAATGGGGATGTGATCCACAGGCTGCTGATAACCTATTGGATACCCCTCCTCCCCTCATAAGATCTGGGTGACAGAATGACTGAGCCACACTGACCCACTCTAGTCACCTCTCTGGGTTGTAAGCAAGGCTTTAAAGCCCAGAACTAAACCCAGGTTGGGTCCAGGACAAGAAAACAAGAGATGCTACATTAGGACTGTAACCACCTCTCAGAAATGAAGACACCCTAGAGACATATGTGCCTTTCCCTATGACAGACTTAAAATAACCAACCCCAAGAAATCAGGATTACCCTAGAACCTCAAGCTGGGAAAAGGAAAGGGCTAAAGCTCAGTGAATGGGAGATAGATTTGCCTGAGAGACTGGAATAGAGCAGACAATGATGGGCGGGACCAGACCTTGACCAGGACGGCTGGTACCTCCTGTCTTCTATTTAAACATAAACTTCCTGTAGGGACCCTGAAGGATTAGCGTGCCACTAAAGCTCTTCGTTTTTTTTCCCAATGTGGGCACACTGAATAGACGTCCTTTCTCTGCTTCTCACTAGTAATTGTGTTTTTAATTGTTCTACTGAGGAAAGGTTACAGAGCACAGCTTGTTAGCGCTGCCAGGGCTAGCAACTCCTGGGTAACAGGACTGCAGTCCCTTTCCAAAAGGTTTCCTTTCTCTTGCTATGTCGTGTTCTGTCCTCTAGGGGGCAGAAGTAAACAGGGAAATGCAGATTACAAAACATCATCAGTGAAGCCTCTTCACTGATGAAGTCTTTGTTTATTAAAGCCTTGACAGAAAGCTCAGCGGGCTTCCTTTCCAAACTGATGAGCACAGGCAGGACAAAGGCTGACTCATTCTCCTTAGGTTCAGTGGTGGCGTCCTGTCCCACTGCAGTCAGTAGATAGCAGCATGTGCCCGGGCTCCCTAGCTCCTCCTTGAGTCTTAGCCTCCTCAGAGGGGCTATGAGGAGGACAGGCAGGCATCTACGATCTAAAGCAGAAAATCCTTCCCCAGTACAAGAAGTGCCACAGACACTACCAGGAAGAACCCCAGATCCGAGTGGGATTTGGAACAAAACATAGCAGCCCTCCAATATGCTCCTGGCAAGGGGAAGTCACCCAGCAGATGCAGCCTGAGGTCATCGCAGCTGACATTCCCACCAGTACCATATTTCCTCTGTTAGATTGGCAAGGATGCCAGACAGAGTGGTACGCACATCAGTGTTCCTTTCCTTCTTGGGCCAGTAAAGACAAGCAGGTAACCCAATCTGATTCATAGGTGGGGACTGTGCAACTCTGAGTAGATTTAGAGCCTCCATTTATTCATCTATGATATAGGATTAATACCAACACCTAAACGAAACGGTGGGACCCAGCAGGGTTTCAGTAAAGATGCTACAAACTGCACTTATTCGAGGGTAATGATTAATTTTAAAGGAGATGAAGGCAGCCACATCAACACCCAAATCAGGGACCCTGCCATGTATCTCTTCATAAGTGCCACTTCTTATGACTTGGATGGAGGTCTCCCTACTCTAAACCAAAAGTCTTGATTCTGTGTCCCACGTACGACTTAGCTGCTATACTGGCTGGTTTTCTGTGACAACTTGACATAAGCTAGAGTCATCGGAGAGGAAGGAGCCTCAGTTCAGGAAACGCCTCCATGAGCTCCAGCTGAAAGGCATTGTCTCAATCAGTGATAAACCCAGGAGGGCCCAGCCCATGCTAGGTGGGGCCATCTCTGGGCTGCTGGTCCTGAGTTCTATAAGAAAGCAGACCGAGCAAAGCATGGGGAAGCAAGTCAGTGAGCAGCACTCGTCCATGGCTTCAGCATCAGCTCCTGCCTCCAGGTTCCAGCCCTGCTTGAGTTCCTGCCCTGCCTTCCTCCAATGGAGGAATATGATCTGGAAGTGTTAGCCAAATAAACCCTTCACTCCTCAACTCACTTTTGGTCGTGGCGTTTCGTTGCAACAATGAAACCCTAAGACAGCTGCCATGCTACAGGGTACAAACAGAGGAAGAAACGGTTGGGTGCTGGATTTGGAAAATAAAACTTGAACAAAATGCAGAAGGCCCACTTCTCCTTCCCCCACCCTGGAAACCCCACTCCCCCACCCAGACATAGCTTGGTAAGTTGCAACTGCTTTAGAAAACACTTCTAGAAGTCATGAAATGTTCCCTGGCCTTGCAGTTAGTGCAAGACAGCCACACGGCAGCTCACAACTGTAAGTTCAGTTTCGGGAAATCCATGGCACCAGACACACACATGGTGCACAAGTATATGCACGCAGGTAAAATACCTAAACATATAAAACACAATAAATAAATCTTAAAAAAATTCACTTGAGCTAAATAAGCAGACTTATCTTGATGCTTTCTATAAATATATGTGGAATAATTCACAAGAGACCCCCTCACCGGTCTATTTACAATCAGTTTCAGAGTGCCCTCCATAAGCCAGCACAAGGTGGCCAGGATACCCTGGGAGGAAAAGGGAGAACTCCATCAAACTGTACAGGAGAGGCATGGAGGGCAAAGCCAAAGTGGGTTTCTGAGCGTGTGCACACATGGACGTCTCAGGATCTCCCTGATCATCCTTCCATCTTGCTTGAGAAGCTCTCTTGACT